AAGTGATACAGATAGAGAGAGAAGGGGAGGCCAGGGAGAGATGGAGATGCAGCCAGAAACAAACGAGCAAAAATTAGACACAGCAGGGATCTTTTGTTGGTCCACATTTAGAGGCACAGTGACTCCAGTTCCACCAAATAATTACATGAAGTTAAGAGGAGGTCGAGAGTAAAAGAGTGAAAAAAGAAGAGGAATAAGTCTCTGCTCTGCATGAAGCAGACTAATGAGATGAGAATACAATGTGAAGAACACACTGAGGAAACCCAGGAGAGATAACAAAGTCCAAACCACAGAGTGTATGTGTCGATTATTTATTAAATGTGAGTGAGTCACGCTGCCTCAGAGCTCAGAAACAAATCAACACTGTTGTTTCAATTAGAGCAACTTGTGTGTGTGTGTGATGTGTTCTGCAGTAGAGTGGACAGTGCTTGGTTTAGGTCTTGGAATAAAAAAACTAGAACCTGACTGATGACGGTTTTTAGGGGCCGATGACGATACAATGATATTAAAGATAAAAACATTTTGATGAAGATATATCAGTCAAACATATAAAAAGATGTCATTATCAAACCCATAAGACAAAGAAATGTAATTGAGGCTTCATATTTTAACAGCTTAAGCATAAACTTCATTAGAAATAACAATAAATAAAAAGAAAACTCATATATATATATATATATATATCATATAGAACTTGACTTTTTAATGGAAGATTTAAATATAAATGCACATCTATTCTGCATTGGGAACATGTTTTGTAAACATTGCATTGGTCATTGTAAACATCTTAAAAATAAAAAGGAATTAAAATAAGCCAAAACTATATAATAACATATTCAAAAGCCAAAGTATATTTTGATTTGTTTTGTAAAATAAAATATTTCATATTGGCAAACATTAACACAGATGCAAACAGGTACAGAAATTATGTTTTTTAAGACAACGCGCCCTCACTATCTCAGGGATAATATATATTATGCAATGATATGCTCTGTAAGATGAGATAAGAATAAACTTGAATCATTCTATTGGTGTGAAATCTGATATTTGCAGCAACATTCAGCAGAAAAATGGTGGAGACAGAAGCAGGACAAATATGTAGAGCTAAATGTACTTTTTAGAAATTGGGACAAACTGTATTAAGCACAATTATGTGAGTAAAGGTTTCAGTACATGCATTTGTGCTTCTGTACTGAGGACTGAGTTTGAAAAGACACAAATGAAAAATATACTAAATATGCAAAGCTAGTGCTGAAGCAATGGTCAGACAATTTATGGGATAATCAATTAACAGGACAATCAATGGATGTGAAAATTAATTGTCTCTAATGAGAAAAAATGCTTTTTAAAGACTTGGGGGCTGGGGAATATCATTAATAAAGTTATATCGAATAAACATTCTGAAAAAATATGATGCACATAAGGTAACAATGAAAATAAGAACTGGAAATGAATGTAAATGACATGAGCAATTTGAATAGAGAAATAAAAAAGACATGGTTGTCGGTTCTTCTATCTCAACCAGGCACACACCCACTCTCTTCATCTCTGTATATTTACACACCTCTCACTCAGCCCCCCCTCAGGTTGATCCCACAGTTTAAGGTTTGCAGTTACACGATAAGCTTGTAAGCACCGGTAACCACTCGTGGAAACAGCAGGAGAAAACAGCTGGAATAATAAGCTGGTGTCCAGTTCACTGCTCACTCACTGCTGTTCACTGTTATGAGTCAAGTCATTGATAAGATATAGGATAAACACAATTATATATATATATATATATATATATATATATATATATATACACACACACACACACAAAACAAAGTATATAGTAATGCAGTCACTGCTGGGATTGGTAGCATATAGGGCAAAACTTAATGTTTGATGAATGTTTGTGTGTCTAATTTTAGTGTCTGGGCTTTAGTATGCGGCTCAAAGAACAAATGCACTTAGATGTACCAGATGAGTCTGGACTGAGGTTAAGCACAAAGTGGGTTTGGACATGTAAACAAAATGTTCTCACCACGATAGAGCTTCCTGGGTCAGATGTTCTTAAATTTCAAACTTAGAAGAAAGAAAGAAAGAAAGAAAAGGAAACTAAGAACTAGTTGCAATTTTACAGACTAAATAAATACACAAAACAGTCCAAATACAAGATTGTCCATAGCTTAGATCAAAAAACAATTAAGTCTTTTCGAAAGGTCTAAAAGTTCTACATAAAGACTAAATTATTATAAATCAGAGTTTACAGCATGTTGTACTGTGCTGCCTACGCCGAGAGGCTGAACGTTGGCTCACACACATCAAACAACATGATTCAGGTGCTTTTCACACCAGTCTATTTGAAACAGCACTGCGTCGTTGATGGTGAACGTCTTACAGATGACCTGTGGTGCATCACTAGTCCATTATGAAGCGTCTCCAGTGTCCCTACCAGCCTCAGGAGCGATCACGCCTCAGCACACAGCCTCTTCAGCAGAGACAAAGCAGTGCCAGGATGCAGAGGCATGATCGCTAATTGCACCAGCTCGGTAATGATCGTTGTGTAAAAACATGCCATACACGACTCTGTGTTTGTCCACATGCTGTACAAATGTGCGTGTTTGTATCACATAGAGCTAATTATTCTCTCACAAACACACACAGCAGGGCAGGGAGGGGTTCAGGCATCTAGTGCTAATTACAGCAGGTCTCATAAAGGAACAAAAGGACATTACCTCACCTGAACTCACAGCCACATAATAGAAACACAAAGAAATGCCCCTCTAATTATAAACTGAAATGTTTAATGTAAAGAAAAGGAGGAGAGGCACATTTGGTAAATGAGGGGAAACAGGTGTAAGTCAGGGAAAAAGAACAAGGTGTGTGTGTGTGTGTGTGTGTGTGTGTGTGTGTGTGTGTGTGT